GGAAATGAGGAGCTAATATTAAGGGCTCAAGTAGAAAGCAAATGTTTTGAGAATGATGATGGCAACAAATGTACAAATGTGCTTGACACAATGAATGCATGGATGGCTTGTGATAAGAATTGTACGAGCCCCCAATAAAATTATTAAGAAAAAAAAGAAGAGTTACAGTCTCAGCAACCCCCAGGGTCAGTTCTACCCTGTCCCATAGAGTCGCTATGGATTGGCATCTCGACTGGATGGCAGTGAATGTGGTATATTGTAGTACGTGTAAGTGTCATTTTGGAAGATCAAAGCTAACATTCAAGAATTATAAAAGCCCAATTGCCTTTGTGCGAAGGATGGAGTTTGGCTGCACAAACAGTCGCACTGTGGGCTTCTTCATAACTGCCTACACTTTCATGCACTTTGCTTTTGCTCCTCCTCCGTTCATTCTCCCCTTGGCCCTCCAGAGAGCCAACCTTTGCCTCCTTTTGCCGCTCACTGGCAACCCCATCGAGAGGAGGCCCAAAGGCAGGAACTGAAAGCACTGAACTGTACCTTGTTCAGCAGTTCCAGTTCTCGCTGTGTCAGTGTGAACCGTGCCTGTGAGGGGGCGGGGGTGGAATGGGGGTCACTGGGGGGCAGTGTCCAGGGGGAAGCTTCATTTTTCATTATTTAATCATTCCTACAGTGTCATGTGAGGAGCCCAGCAGGCATAGCGATTCCAAGTTGAGCAACTAACCACAAAGACAGCAGTTCGAAACCTCCAGCCACTCTGGGAGAAAGAGGAGGCTTTCTACTTGAGTAAAGATTTACAGTCTTGGAAACCCACAGGGGCAGCTCTACTCTGTCCTACGGAGTGCCTATGAGCCAGAATTGATTTGATGGCAGTGTTTTTGAGAGAGTATAAAATCGAGTCTATATGTGCGTTTACATTCCCTCTCTCTTTCCTGTCTGGTCAGCAAGCCACTTGGACTCACAACGTAAAAGAAGTGAAAGCTAGACAAGAATCTCATGTCTGTCTTTCATCCTGCAATCCTCTTCTGCCTGCTCGACTGCTCACAGCGAATGTCCCACCGTAGAAGCTTGTCCCAACGCCAGACATAGTACTGCCCCTTATCCCACTGGTCCAGATGAAAATGCAAATGGGAAAATTGTTGAAAAGAAAGAAAGAAAGAAATATTTCTATCCTCTCACAGGGTGGATTTTAACGGACCTTTAAAAATTATCTGACGAAATTGCTTGACAGCTAGGAAAGTGTTCTTTGTTGCTGCACCTTTGAAAAACTTAGAGGAAATTGCTCTCCGAGTTTGGTTATCCCATTTTCTACCCAAAAGGAACATTCCCATTTACTTTCCCCAACATTTTAATCACATTCACTACCTCCAAGGCTGCGTGGGCAGCCTCCACTGGTAACAAAAAGTAACAGATTGGCAGCAGATTATGAAAAATGAGCCTGGCAAACACGTGGAGGGATTTTCAGAGCAAGCGGGGCAGAGTTGCTTGAGTTCTTTGCTGGGCTTTGGCTCAAGATCGTGGTTTCAAATTGTTGTTGCCCCAAATTATAAATTGCTTATGTAATTATTGTGCAAAAAGGGCACATTCCTAAATTTTTTTTCCTTTTCATTTGAGCAACTGAGTTTTCAAGGAAAAATCTCAAAGGGGAGAACATTGTAAGTAAATTGCTTAACTGTAAATGGAACTTTCCAGGTATTCTTAAAAAAAAGATCTTTGACTCTAAAAAATGAAAAAAATCATAGCTACACAGTCAGTCATATTCATGGACAAAAACCACATGCTGAATGAAAACAGAACCTTGTAGTGAAGGGGAATGTCTGGGATGTGTTTATTTAGCCGTACTCTTTTTCTTCTTCTACTTTTTCTTGGTAAAGTCTGGTAAGTTCTCTTTCAGCTTCCTCAAAAAGGGTACCAGCACTTCTAACTGGCCAACTAACAAGTTAATCACTCTCTCCAAACAAAAGGGTGAAGCTGAGAGCAACTGGCCTCGCCTTGCCTCCATTTACCAACTCTCCTCTCCCCTCTCCCCTGCCTCTCTCCCTTCCTCCCTCCCACTACCACCGAGTCATTCCAACTCAGCAGGGTGGAACTTCTGGGACTGTAACTCTTGATCGGAGTGGGAAGCCTCATCTTTCTCCAGCGGGTCCAAGCTGGTGATTTCGAAACGCTGACCTTGCAAGGTTAGCAGCCCAACGCGTAACCACTCTGCCACCTTAGTCTACCATAGTGACGTGCCTGGTACAGGACTTGGGGCAGAATCAGGCTACACCTAGATGCTGTGCACGCACACCACGGTCTTTGCAGCTACAACAGGGGTGAAAACAACAAACGCTCTCTTTTCAGCGTTCTCGGATCCTAAGGACGACCCTGTAACAGCGCCCAAGTGGCCCTGCGAGTCGAGTGGGAGCAGTCAGGGCGGCCGTCCTGCCGTCGGTCCTGGCCCATCGGGGCAGCAGGACTGCGACGGCAACGCGGGCAGCCCGCTGGTCTCCCAGGCTTTGGCTCCTAGAAGACCAGGTTGCAGGCAGCCAGGACTGTCCCCAGACACACGCTCCGCCGCGTAGGGAAAGTTCTGCGCGCTTTGCAGACCGGACCCGAGCCTTCCACTCCCGGAGGCTAAAAGCGTCCGCATTCTCCGTGCGCCTGGCCGGGCGCGAGCTCTGCCTCTGCAGCGGAATGCCTCCCGATGCCCACCTTCACCCAGCTCCATCGAGGCGCACACCGGCGACCCAGTCGGGGTGCCCTGGGCAGACTAGATGGCAGTCCGAAGGGCAGCAGCCAGTGGCTGGGTGGGTGCCCCTGCATCCCACACCCCTCGCCCCGCAGGGAGGGAGGGAGCACATTACAAACCTGCCCAGCAGCCCCCCGCGCCGGGCCCGGCTCCCGGCCGGGCCGCACTCACCTCCTCCCCAGAGCGCGGGGAGCAAGAGCAGCAGCGGCGGCCAGGTCCGCCCCATCGCGGGGCTGCAGACCTGGGAACGCTCTCCCACGCCGGCTGGCGTCCCGAACGGGCGTCGGAGTAGCAGAAGGCGGCAGGGAAGTGTCCCAGAGGCCGCGGCGCGGGCAGCAGGCGCTGGAGGGGCCGGGTGCACTGCGGGCGCGGGGCCGGGGGCCGAGGGCCGAGCCCGGCTCCACAGGAGCAGGTTAGGGAGGTGGGGTGAGCGAGAAAGGGGAGGGCAGTGGAGGGGAAGGAAGGGGAGGGGGCTGGAGAAAGGGGGCGGGCCCAGGCGGCTCTCCCCGGGCTGGGACCGAAAATGAGCCCGGGAGGGGTGGGGAAGGGGAGGGAGCGGACGAGGACTGCGGTGGCAGCTCGGAGGAGGCTGGCTGGGCAGGGAAGAGGCGTGCTGGGCCCGGGGCTGCACCGAAGCCGGCCGCGAGGAGGGGGAAGGCGAAGCTGGCGGGAAGAGTGGCAGGGATTTGGAAAGTGGAGCTTGGGAGAGCGTGGGGCTTTGCTGCTGCTGCGTGGGTCCCACGTCCAACACGGCTGGGTGGGAGCGAAGGAATGGCTGGGGGGAGCGGGGAGGGGGGTGAAGAGGAACACTGGGCGTCGGAGGCAGCCACCCCCCAGACCGGAGGCGACAGTCCAGCTTCTCCCCCCGCATTCCTAGCGTCGCTGACTGCGACCACGCTCCCCGAGGTCAAAACCACTGTGACAGCGCTCCCTGCTGAGCGCCCCTGTCCTTCAGCTTCTTGCTAAAGCCTCCTGGGTCCTGGGCCTGAGGTGTGAGACCAAATCCTGCGTCCAAGCATTCCTGTTCTCCTGCGGAGGGGACGCTTCGAGCAGCTTTTTGCGTGAAGAGCCAGAGGGAGGTGGTGGTTATCGAGAGAATGATACGGTGTGAGCAAGAGCGGCTGGAGGTGGCTCCTGGGAGATTCACGGTGCAAAGCCGCAACTACAACACGCACTGCCAGCAAGTCCAGTTCCACGCAGAGCGACCCCATGAGACAGCGTCGGACTGCCCCTGTGGGTCTCTATGACAGTACATCTTCATGGGAGTAGAAAGCCTCCTCTTTCTCCCCTTGGTAGCAAAAGTAGAGCTGAAAGAGAAAGGAGCGGTCCACAGAGCTGATCAGAAAATCATATCGTTTATGAGGCCGGGAAGGGCACCGTCTAGAATAGTGGCGTCTTCAAGATCGACCCAGAAGCGCAATGCTGTCTGTGATGGGTTGTTATCTATCCCCTTTCAAGGAAATCCAATCACGACAACTAGTATTCAAATACATGTACCACCACCAAAGCTGGTAATGAAGACATTGAAGATTCCTACCAAGCGTTCAGTCTGAAATTGATCAAACATGCAATCAAGACGCTGTGATCACTGTTGGCAATTGCTGAATGCCAGCGTTGGATACAAAGAGGGTCTTGGTGATGAAAACTAAGCTGGGGGTCGCATGGCAGAAGTTTGCAAGACCGACTCGTTCATCGCAAATACCGTTTTTTCTTCAACAACACAGTGGACAGCTCTACGTATGGATTTCTCCTGATGGAATACCCAGAAATCAAACAGATTACAACTGTAGTCAGTGACTGCAACAGTGGGCCCAATAGGAACATTGTTAGGAATGTAGTAGGGTGGTGGAGGATAGGCCATTTCCTTCTCAGAATCTACTCAAAGACACCGAACAACAACAGCAAACAACTGGGGAAAGACAATGGAGAAGCTCAGCATCAGCAGCTAAAACCAGGCCAGGCCCTGACTGTGGAAAAGGCCATCAATTGCTCATATGTAGGTTCAGGTTGCAGCTGGAAAAAAAATGAAAACCAGGCCAGGAGAACCACAATAAAACCTTGGTCTATCCCACCTGAAGTTTGAGAACCGCTCAAGAACAGAGTTGATGCATTGAACACTAATGACAGAACCCGATGAGCTGTGGGAGGGCCTCAGGAACATGATTCATGAAGAAAGCAAAAGGTCCTTTAGAAGACAGGAAACAAAGAAAACATCAGAGTGGATGTCAGAAGAGGCTGTGAAACTCGCTCTTAATCACAGAGGAGCTAAGGCAAATGGATGCAAAGGAGTTAAAGATCTGAAGAGAAAATTTCAAAGGGCAGCTCAAGAAGAGCTAGTCAAATGTAATGAAATATGCAAAGCCCTAGAGTTAGAAAACTATAAGGGAAGAACACACCTATCATACCTTTAAAATGAAAAACTCAAGAAAAAATTCAAGCTTCGAGTTGCTGGGTTGAAACTGTCCACAGGCAAAATAGAATGGTGGGGTAATGGTTACACATTGGGTTTTTAACCACAAGGTCAGTAGTTCAAAACCATCAGCCACTCCTTGGGAGAAAAACAAGGCTTTCTTCTCTCAAAAAGTGTTACAGTCTTGGAAACTCACAGGGGCAGTTCTACCCTGTCCTGTAGGGACTCTATGAGTCAGAACGGATTTCATGGCAGTGAGTTTGTTTTTTGTTTATATGGGCAAAGTGTGGAACGGTGCAGAAAGCATCAAATGATGGAAAGAATACATAAAGTCATGGTACCAAAAATAACTAATTGACATTCCACTATTTCAGGAGACAGCACATGAGCAAGAATCAGTGGTGCTGAAGGAAGAAGTTGAAGCTGCACTGAATCCATTAACCAAAAACAAGGCTCCAGGAATTGATAGAAGACTAACTGAAATGTTTCCACAAACTAATGAAGCACTGGAAGCACTCTCTCTTCTATGTCATGAAATGTGGAAAACAGCTACTTTGCCAACTGACTGGAAGAGATCCACATTTGTGCCCATTCCAAAGAAAGGTGACCCAAAAGAATGCTCATATTATTGAACAATGGTAAAATTTGGTGAAGATCATCCAATAACGGTTGCAGCAGGACATTGACAGGGAACTTGCCAGAGGTTCAGGCTGGGTTCAGAAGAGGATATGGAACAAGGGATGACATTACTGATATCAGATGGATCTTGGCTCAAAGCTGAGAAGGCCAGAAAGATTTTACTCGTGTTTTATTGACTATGCAAAGGCATTGACTGTGTGGATCATGTATGCCTTTTGAAAGATCTGCAAGTCCCATTATAGGTACCCATTGGAAAATACGTTCACTCTCTTGCTCCTGACACAGGGACAAAGAGCCCCTGTGCCCCACTGTCTTTAATATTTTGCATAATCGCAAAGTCACTCCTGAGTGTTGGGGACGCTTGTACCCTGACAGAAATCATCAGAGAAGCTGGATTTGATGAAGAAGAATGTGGCAACAGGATTGGAGGAAGGCATATTAATAACCTGAGATATGCAAATGATACAACCTCGCTATTTCTTCATCCAATGAGATGATCATGTGGTTCTTTTCCTTTGTTCTATTGATATAGTGTATCATGTTTATTGATTTTTCTAATGCCAAACTGTGTTAGTTAGGATAGACTAAAGAAACAAAATCATGGATACTCATATGTGTATAAGAAAGAACTTTATATAAAAGAGCAATTGTGTATTGAGAAAACATTTCAGCCCAGTCCAGATCAAGTCCCTAAGTCTGATATTAGCCCTTATGTCTGATATCAGTCTATAAATTCATCTTCAGACTCATGCAACACATGCAATGACACTGAATACAGGATGATCACAGGCCAGTGAGTGGAAAGTGTTGTGCATCCAGTGGTGGTGGAAGCATCTCAGTGCTGCTGTGGGTCTCCACATGGCTTCTCCAGCTCCTGAGCTCTGGCTTCCATCAAGTAGCTCCAGGGGGCTTGTCATCAGGAATACCAAGCAGAGAGTGTTGAAGCAGAGTCTGTGTATCTCACCTTCCAGGAGGAAGATAGGCGTTCTCAGTATCCTCAGGAGAAGGCCATGCGCACACAGAGGCCTTATTGGCTGTGGCCTGATTGACAGGCTAGACTCCACCCCTTTGCAAGTTGACAGATTATGTAACTGCCATACAAACCATCCTTGCATTTTGGAATAAATACCATTTGATTCGGATATATGACTCTTAATAGGATGTTGGAGCTGTTTGCTAGCATTATTTTTTTGAGGATTTTTGTGTCTGTATTCATAAGAGATATTCTGTCATTTTTGTGTGTGTGTGTGAGGTCTTCTCGTGAGGCTAGATTTCCCCCCACAGTTTTCTTGGCACCTAATCCACATATCATACAATTCAATCATATCAAGAATAATTGTACAATCTTTACCACAGTCAATTTTAGAACATTTTCTTTCTTCTCCTCTCCCCCCATTAAATGGCCTTTAAAATGAGTTGTGTCATCACATTCGGTTCCAGTGCCTCGTCCCCTCTAACCTTCATCATTTACTCCTGAACCCCCTCACTCTCCTCATCTCTCCTTCTCCTCTACACTCCCTGCAAACTCTTGCATCAGTTTTTATCTCTAAGCACCCACTCCTGTGTTTCACAAAGTGGGTAAACCCAACAGACACAATAAAGAACCAAAATAAAATAAAGTGGCAAAGATAAAACAATAGTAATATAAAGATAAAAATACAAGCAATGAATAAGACAGAAAAGACACCCCCCCACCACCACCACCAATATTTTAAAATCCAGGAAAGAAGTTTTCATCGTGAGATAAGCAAGAGACCCTTGCACCTAGAACAAATGCAGGTCAGGTCTAGAGGGAGGTCAACTGATCAAATATCAAGATTGATCCAGAGTAGTCAGACTTACATGGATCTATGTTTGATAGTAAGGCTGTTCCAGAATTTTGCCTGTGACTCGAAGGGATCTCAGACACTATTCTGATCGATAGCTTTCTTAATCACACTTTGCTGTAGTACCCTTCTCTTCAATGATCACTTCATGAAGATGAGTATGGAGCAGGGCCATGTGACCAGAACTAGCTGGTCTTGGATTGGGGCTAGAGTTCAGTAGGAGCCCAGAGTCCATCTGCTTGGCCATGGCATATGCACAACTGAGGCTTACTCTGGTGGTCATCTTCTGACAAAATCAAACCCCTGTAGGACCAACCGCACTAGCACCAGCAACAAACCAACCAGCAAACAAACAAATGGGGGAGAAAAAAATAAATGCAAAACAAAATTTAAAAAC